TGAGGACATCCTCAATCCCTCATCAATCAGACAACGATTGGACAACACACAGGAAGACACACTTCCATGACGCAAAACCAGAAAACACACTTCCATGATAATATCTAGCCAAGACTATTGACTAAGGAGTTGCTTACAAGCTTCCTCCAAGAACAATACTCAACTCATTACCTAAAGACATCTGAGTGAGAAAAAAACCTTACAACTTAAGGAACACATTCCAACTCACATATCGAGTGGAACACACAACCAACTCTCATAGAGAGTGTAACACCCTTTTAAACCCGAGGAGTATTCACAATTATTCTAATTAATTAAATTAGAGTATATCACCAAACAAGGGTGTCACATCTTCATATAAAACTTCACAACAATACATCATGCTCTGTAACACGGGTTTTCAAAATCTTTAACAAGATAGAATCAATATTTATTTCTTCGAATAATGGCAGCGGAAATCATAGTTCAAAACACTTCATTATAGTACTTCATAAAAATTAGTCATAATTGATAAGTCATACTTATAAATTAAAACATCTCGAGTACCACATAGGGTGAGTCAACATCTTAAAACAAAATAAAGAACATAAATTCCAATCATTTGATCTCAACTCCGATGTTACATATCAGAGCAAGACTTATTTTATTCAACAAAAGTAAATAAATGCACTATGAGGCTATCCTCTAATGCTTCTACGAACTATTCTCGATCACCCGCGCGTTACCCATATGGAGGCAATATTCAAACAGAAATGGTGAGTAAATCGTAATCATTAGATAAGACATAAGGGATAGACATAGTAAATATGTACATAAGCAAGGCATCACACATCATCATATCGTCATGTTATGCTCACACCTTCACCACTTCATCAATAGACGAAAACATATCATCATACACAATGTATCATCAAGCATCAAAATAAATCATTATGCAACGTCATATAGGATGTAATGCAATGTCATAGACTCATGAATATGCATCAAAACTTCACTGATGACTCGGTCATCGTTATCTCCAAAGATCCCCACCATATGATCTATTCCCGCTCAAAACCAGAGTATTTCATTGTTGCACCCAATCCATACTATGGGATTGTTTCCTTCACTGTGCAACCGTCCTATCACTTTTGTTGGTCTGAAGTCCTAACTTCACTAGACCAAAGTCCTAGAATATGCCATGAATGCAATGATGCACAACAACATATTTAATATGACCACATCTAGTTAACACGCATCACCATTCGTGATTCATAATAAACATCATCATAACATCATAGTAATCAACACAACATCATAACGTCATCATAGTAATCAACACCACATCATAACATCATCATCATCATAAGTAAAGCACCATCATAAACAAAACAACATTGTGATTCAACACGGGGAACCTATTTCTATTCTAACTTAGGTCTCAGAGATATACTCCTTAAGTCTCATTTTTTATCACATAATTAAAGTTTATTGTATTAGCTATCTAACACTCTGAACGACACCTCAATCTGAGCTCTAGAACTAAAGTTATGACCATTTTAATATTGTCTGACACGACCAACCAAATCTACCATCCGTCGCCTGGAGACACACCCTCATTGCATATCGACGCACCCTTCGCGTCCGCTTTGCCCGGCGATGTAGAAGCGATGCACTCCAGAAGCGTCATCCTTTCTTCATATTTTCCATCGCCTCGTCCTCACCTGGTGACGACCAAAAATGCATGTGTCGTCCGACGATACTACTTTCATCGTCCAACGATGATGCGCAAACATGATTTTCCTGTTGCGATTTCTGCACTACACCAGTCCAAATCTTCTACGATTTCATAACATTACAGGTCCTAAAACACCATCTAATCATATGGTTTCATCAGCTATCAACAACCTATAATTCTATACTCATTATACATCAATTATAAGTCATTATCCATCACCAATTCATCAATTTCTCATCAAACAATACCAAATCACCATATACCAAAACCTAAGGTAATCTACCAATCATCTAAACCTTAAATCAAATATAATAACAATGATAAAACTCCTCTTACCTTAAGATTATTGCTAGAGACCAATTCCTATTCGTGATCTATCGGGATTCCTATACTCTTCTTGACTCTTTGTGTCCTAACTCTCTTTTCTCCACAACGTTTTTTCAAATTCTATCGTACAAAATATGCGTGTAAAATCCCAAACCTTCTCCTTATAGCAAACTTTCTCTCTTAGACCCCTAATAATGAACTTCTCATCATGCCCTCACTTATCCTTCACTAATGACCACAATGCCCTTATTTTCTCTATATCACATATTATTCTATTTATTTAAATCCAAATAATTCTAAATAATTACTATTAAATCTAAATAATTCTAAAATAATTATTTAAATTCTAAACCCTCTTATTATCCCATCCTACACCATACAATTCATCATCTTAAACATCTTATTCATCAAGTCATCGTTATTGCATCACATATGCATCACAAATACACATCATATATCGTCGCAGGGACTAACACAAAGCACCAAAATATGATATATACCAAACACTTCATAGAGACTCATATATTTATGCTAAATTAATTAAATAAATAATTAATTTAGAATTCAGGATGTTATAGATAGCGGTACAGACTCATTCATAATAACTACATCTTTTCAATTCACGGCCGGTCCCTTCTTCTAGGTTATAATGCTTCTATTTATAACCTTTTTCCCAACTGAATTTGGGTTTTAAATTACAGCATATCAGCTGCTACAAATCAGCAGAAACTTTTGCTACAAAATAGGTTTTCAAGCAAATCTTTCCTAATGTATCTCTATAATTAGAAAGTCAATATTCTTTTTTATTATTCTAGACCTATAAAACAATGCCACATAGAATAGCATAATATTTCCAGAATATTCTGTATCTGTTAAATCTTGAACTGATCCAGCTGTCCAGCCCAACATAGGCGCGATGTCGAATGATCCTGCATAAGACATCTTGTCCGACATGTTGCTCCAATTGTTGAAACATTTCAGCCCAATATGTTCTTCATAAAATAAAACTTCAACCTGCTTTTTCCTACAAGTTAGAAAACCCTATTTAACATATTACTGCAATATTAGTTTTATCAACCATAATGACAATCCAAAAATTAGAGAAGTAACACAAGCTTTTATGTCAAATTGTTAAGTACAAAACGGGTACAAACAAGGTTATGAGCAAACTGTCAAACATTTATGCCAAATTGTCATGTGCCAACTGTGCAATTGTTATGTGCAAACTGTGCAAATCATGTTATGTTCAAACTGTCAATTTTCATGTGCAAATAGGTTATGTCCAAACAGTTCACAAGTTATGAAAAATTGTTCAATTGACATATATAATCACGTAAATAGAATTGACAAACAAAATTATTTTTTCATTCATTAACCAAATATGTTACATCATAGTAGACACAACAGCACTTAATCCTTTGTTACAATATAATCATATAAACATCATCTAAGAACTTGATCAACTAAACACTTCATGATTAACTAAATACCTAATATGCTAAATCCTTATTTCATTAGTGTTGGTGCAACTAAGACAAACACCATAATATAAGTAATCTTCTTGTTGAACTTCAGTTGCTTCTTTAAAAACTTTATCTTCATCTTATCTTTTACTTTGGTGTCATTAACCTTTTTTCTTCCATTCATTTAAACTCTAAAGTAATGAGGATATTAACTACTTTACTTTATGATTCGTTTCTTCATTCAACCAAACAAAATAACTATATTTCATACAAAATAACTATATTTCATATAGCCTTGCAGCTGGAACACATCAATGAAAATAAATAAAAAATTAACGAAAAATAGGAGAGAGAATGTTGTAAGAGAGATTGTGAGATAAAGTCAACGTGAAGTTTAACATATTTTTAGAATATTAAATAAAAGAAAAAAAACAAAAATTAACATGAGAGAGAGAGAGAGAGTTGTAAGAGAGATTATGAGCTAAGTCACCGTGCGTGCGTTAAAGTTACTCAAACCCAACCCTTAAAAGTATAGTTAAGACAATTTTTTATTTTATCAATCAATTCAAAAGTTCATTTCCACTCTAGTTTATTCTAATTTATTCAACTTTCTACCTTACTTTTAAATAAATTAGGTAAGCAAATGGTAGAGGGAATGCAAACAATCCTTACACACATGTTGTCCTTGTATTAACCATTCCAATCCATTTGCAACCAGAAATTTTTACAAATATATCATATTTTTCTAACTTTAATATCAAATTACCATACTTTTTCAAATAAATCCTAAAATATTATATTTTCAAAAAAAGAAAAAATTAAACACATCCATCAATTGATTGGACCGATCATCTATATTTTTATTATTTTATTTTTCTGCGGATTTTTGCAGAAAATTTGAATTATTTGAAATTTTCTGTCGATTTTATTACAGAATTTTATTCCTGTGAAATTTCTTGGAAATTTACCTACAGATTTTTAATAAAATCATATATAAAAATTATATTATTGAGAGATATACATATAAAAATGTTATTTCACAGAAAATTTCAGAGATAAATCTGTAAATAAAATTCGAATAAAAATCCATAAATAATAAATAAATAATTAAAAAAATTGCATAATCGTCAAATGAATGAAAATAATCTTTTCATTTTTATACACTTTCACTTATTGAATAGACGGGGCGAGCCTCTTTATCAATAATAATATTTTTTTAAAACATATTATGATATATTGATGAATTGAACGTTAGATTAGTATATCTTTTCTAAAAGAACGGTAGGAAAGGTAGGAGAATAAAAATTTCTTTGCAACCATATGACGATTAGGTAAGGACCGGAGATGAGGTTAAAACGCGTCATCATGCATTTAAGACATCGCAGTTAGTCGGACAAAGCATTAAATAACTACACTTATTTCATATCTTCAAGCTTTCATTCTCTACTCCATTGATCATAACACACCCTTCACTACTCCTATCATTATCTTCAATGGAACACCAAAGAGAACAAGAACTACTACCACCTCTAGTAGCCATGGTTTCAAGTCCTGGAATGGGACATCTCATTCCAATGATTGAATTCGCCAAGCGACTCACTAACCACCATAACCTCCCTGTTACTTTCATCATCCCCTCCGATTCTCCACCCTCTAAGGCTCAAACCACCGTACTCTCCTCCCTTCCATGCGGCATTTCCCACATCTTTCTCCCTCCAGTCACCCTCTCCGACCTCCCACCCGACACCAAACCTGAACCACTCATGACAATCACCATCCTCCGTTCTCTCCCTTCTCTCCATCAAACCCTACTCTCTCTCATCACCTCCCACCGTCTCTCCGCCTTAGTCGTCGACCTCTTTAGCACCGACGCCATTAGCACGGCTGCCGAACTCGATATCCCTTCGTATATCTTCTTCGCCACCACCGCTAATAACTTGTCTTTGGCCTTTTATCTTCCCCAACTCGACCAAAAGTTTCCGTCTGAGTTTAGGGATATCCATGAACCGCTTAATATTCCTGGTTGTTACACGGTTCATGGAAAAGACTTACCAACCCCGGTTCAGGATCGAACCAATGAAGCCTACACATGTTTCCTCCACCATTTGAAAAAATACAAGTTGGCTAAGGGAATAATAGTGAATAGTTTCTTTGAGCTTGAACCGGAGGCTTTCATGTTTTTACAGAAGAATGAACCGGTGGTTCATTCGGTTGGACCGTTGGTGAACCAAGACAATATTGATAATGAATCTGAATTTGAAGTTGGTTTGAAATGGTTGGATGAGCAGCCACTTGGAAGTGTTGTATTTATTTGTTTTGGGAGCGGTGGAACCCATAGTAGTTCTCAAACGAATGAACTTGCTTTTGGGTTGGAACTGAGTGAACAAAGATTCTTGTGGGTTTTGAGGTGTCCTAATGATAAAGTTGAAAATGATTCTAATTTTATTGCTAATAGTAATGTTGACCCATTTGATTTTTTACCTGATGGTTTTGTGGAGAGGACTAAAGGGAGAGGTTTGGTGGTTCCATATTGGGCTCCACAAGCACAAGTTTTGAGCCATGTCTCAATTGGAGGGTTTGTATGTCATTGTGGTTGGAACTCAATTCTTGAGAGTGTGGTGAATGGTGTGCCTTTGATTGCATGGCCACTTTATGCAGAGCAAAAGATGAATGCTGTTTTGGTTAGTGAGGAGGTTAAGGTTGCTATTAGAGTAAATGTTGGTGAGGATGGGTTAATTGAAAGGGAGGAAATTGCAAGTGTTGTGAAGAGGTCGATGGAAGGTGAGGAAGGAAAGAAAGTTCGTAATAATATGATGGGTCTCAAGGAGATAGCCGCTAATGCTCTAAAGGAAAATGGGTCTTCAACAAAACAAATATGTGAATTGGCTCACAAATGGAAAGGTGTAGCAATACCAAATTGAAGTTTCCATTCACTTTACTGTCCCTTTGTAATCTAGTTTAGTATGTAAGAATATTTTATGGTAGAATCTAGTATACCAAATATGTCAATATTGAATATCTACGAGTTATTTCATCAATAATAAAATAAGAAATAATCAATAATAAAATAAGAAATAATTCTCTTTCATTTATTTTCTTCTTCTTTATTACTTCTTTATAAATAGGCGATCTTGATGTAATTCTTTTTACTCTCTTTTCTCAATTGTAATATGAATTTTACTAAAAGTATAATTGTAAATAATTTTATAGCTGTGTAAAGTTGTAGAGTTGTTGTGGTATTACACTCAGATGATATGAAAAATTTTGTATACCGATGTTTTTCATCTGTTAGTTTCAGTTAAAAGAAAAAAAAATTCTTTGATTTTTAAAAGTTAGATTTTACAAAACGGTTTTTCAAAATATTATAAGTTTTTCTATATTTATTTTTTCTAAATTGAAACACTAATGTTGACATTCTATAACATAATGATACATTATTGAAGATCAAAACATAGTTAAAATCGTAATTTTTTTAAAAAGTTATATTTCAAAAATAATTTTTATGAAAATTTATTTGAAATAGCTTCAAAATTAAGTGATTTTTAGAAATTTTAATATAAAAAAAAGTTTCAATAAGAAGATGAAATACTTAAAATAACATTTTAAAAATAACTATTCAAACCAAATTTTTATTTATAAAAGTTTCTTTGTAATTTTTTTACACAAAATTATGTAATATTATAAAAATCATTTTAAAAAAAAGCTAAAACAAACAGGTCCTAAATGTCTATTCTATATAAAGGTTGAAGTCTTTATACGAGGCTTTTGGGTTTGGATCTTAGATTCCAAAAAAAAACGGTAACATCGCTTGTTTCTTATATGAGCGTAAAAAACGAGTAGTTATTTCCCTTATTATATTGAAAGATATGGCTTTCTTTTTTGACTTTCCTCTCTCTCTCTCTCTCTCTCTCTCTCTCTCTCTCTCTCTCTCTCTCTCTCTCTCTCTCTCTCTCTCTCTCTCTCTCTCTCTCTCTCTCACACACACACACACACACACACACTCTCTATCTCTCATCATTATGGATAGTGACACATCACTTTCAACGCTCCCACAAAATGGGCGAGTAATGTGGGTAACGAGCAATATATCTATGAAATAGACGCACATTATAATAGACATGCGTACACAACGATAGATGGACGACATATATTAAGAAAGTAAGGTGATGGATACTAGCATTCCGCTTTTTGTGAAACTTGTGTTGCCTCTTGTGTATTCTTTACAAATATATCGGTACATTGTCCCTCAAGCACGATAGTTTGTAATGGGTAAAATGATTTAGTTCATTTGCCTCATCTCGTTTGGATGACGAGTTTCTTAAGCATGGCGGGGGTGAGTTTCTCAAACATACTTTGGGCGAGTCCCTCAAGCTTACGAGCTAGACCCATAGGCTCACTTGGGGAAAGTCCCTTAGTTATGGCCTGAGGTAAGCCTCTACGTGTTAATGAGGTGAATCTTCTATTAGGTTTTTATTTTGTTGGCGGCGTTTTGTTAAAACAAGTTTCTAGCAAGATATTGGACAAGATGTCCTGACATGTTGGTACGACATCGTAACCTGCCTTGTTTCTATATTTAGAAGATTGTTTCAGATTCTCAAAAGTTTTATTTTATGTAGTCTGAGGTTTCAAATACGTGTGTGAAGATTTGATTCTCTGAAGATTTATTTCAAGCGAGAGATATCTGAAGATTTGTTTCTCAAGATTGGATGTTGTAACATTCAAGGAAACATTATATTTTGTACCAGAATATTCTGCTGAAGATTTGATTTGATTTGTTGTTAGTTTAAAGCCTGATTTAAACATAAAGCCCATGTTGTTTCTCTAGCTATAAAAAGAAAGACTCTAAACGTGTTCTTGTGTAAAAACACTAAACGAGTGGCTTCCTTGTAGGAACAAGGAAAGCCACAATAGGGTATATTTCTGTATGATCTTTGGGGGATTCGAGTGGCACAAAGGTGTTCGTATGCACTCAAGAGTAGATGTCTTGCTTATCCCTCTGGCGGGAGCCCCTCCTTATATGATTATTTATGAGGTGTTTTAGGAGAAGAGTGAAGGGCCTCCATTATTGCGATTCCTTTTTCTCTGTTCTTTTTGTGTATATCTGTGTTACCCCCTTATATGTGTTGTCAGAGACCTCCTTTTATAGTGTAGGCAGGTTTAATGAGTATTAAGATCTGTAACTGGTTCTTTATGACTTGTAACCGACTATTTAATAGGGACTTTGTAACGTTCGTAATCGCCCTTAATGACTTTGTAACATTTGTCTTATCATTAGGCCATAGCTACACCGCTTACTCTCCTCGGGTCCGGCTTCCTACAGATTGGTTTTAGTGCGCCGAGCTCATACCCGACAGCTTATTCAGTGTCGGTTCTGGATCACACCCCGGCAAGACCTGACTGAGTAGTCGGATCCAGTCTGCAGGTTCTGGCCCGTATTTCTTTCTTTATTTGAGTTCGTTCCTCGGACTTGATAAAAATATCCGGGATGGGCACGAAGTCCTAAAAAGGGAATGAAGTTTTCGAACAAAGAAGCCCATTGTTTTTTTATCCCGGGTCCAGGGGTGAACTCAGATCATCTAACACATATCATAGCCAGCTCGTTCCACTTTCATGCCATTAGTCGACTAGATTCTTAACCTTCGGTATCTTGGTATTGGATCCGTTCTAGGGAATGTCATGTTGATTCGTTTTTGTGAAGATTTACGATATCGCTGAAGTAAAAAAATTGTGATTTCGATGGAGAAATTGAAGAGTCCTAGTGGAATCTCGACCAGTTGATGACAACTAACTCATAGAAGACTTTAGACATTCCATAAGTTGAAACACTTATGTATAGAGCTTGCTTTGTTTTTCGGAGATCTTGTTGTATTTCTTTTCCAATGCACTGTGTTTATGCTCATCTGAGGCCTTTTTATTGCCTTGAATGCTTTTTGTATTCTCATAGCTATTCACTTATAGCCCCAAGCGTATATCTAGCCAAGTTTAGTACCTTGTAGGTATGCATTATTCCCATGTCAGAGATATATCCCACCCAACTTTATGCTTTACTTTACTAACTAAACTATGAATAAGAGTTTTTAAATGACAATTCTCAGTTTAAACTTTAGTTTTGTTCAAGAAGTACTTACCTCTTCCGGTTTATAAGCTTAGCTTTACTTACTTGTTATTAAATTTATGACCCAATATATGCATCGGGATCTATATCATTAAAAAATTTGGTTGTGGAATAAAGCCTTTTTTGGTTGATCACTGATTAGTCTATTATCTTGGATAGCTATCCTGGAGTAATTTAATGTTCGTTTATCCGACCTTTGTACGGACTATAGGATTCTAGAGCCCCTTGGATTTTAACTGAGTTCACATCTCAGCTCATATAAAATATCATAAGGATCTATTTGAATTCTAGTATTAATTTGTGATTAAACGAAGCTCAAAGTTACTTCGGGTACTCGAGCTTCTTAAGGTCTGCCCTTTTGTTAATTTCGATGGTAACAATTGGCTTTATAAGCCCCAAGCCTTTTGAGGCCGGGTTGATATACCCTAGCGACCAAAATGATTATATCCCATAATTGAGTTTATCCGTGTATGCTTGGTTTTTGAGAAAGGATCTAATCGATTTCCCCCTCCCAATTTAAATAAAATATTTTGGGGTATATACTAAGCCCTGGGGCACGAAGTTCGCAGGAGTCAAGTGTCGGATACGACTAGCTCGACAATATTTTTGGTTGTTTACATATAAGCCCTAGTGGGTTCAATTGTTAATACAGAACTCAGTTGGTCTTTAGATGTTCATCTGAGATTTTTTAAACACTTTTGTTTTTAGCCAAGCAAATCCTAATGCGGCTTATAACTTTGGTTAATTGTTATTTTTATCCTCAAATTCGTATGTTGGGCTATATGCAAATTCTCCTGGATACAAAGTCCACTTGAAGTGAAGTATTTTGTTCGGGTTGTGATGTAACCGGGAAATTTCGTTCGATTTGAGCTTGAGGCGTTCCTAGAGTGAAAAAACGTCTTTTGATTCTCAGATTTTGCTTGTTTATTATTGCTACAAGCATCGAATATTCATGGCTAGTACGCCTGCTGACTCTTCAAAGTATGAAGTTCATAGGAAGAAAAATCCGAATAGTTGGTACCCGACCCTACATCTTATTCGGAGGAATTATGCTTTTTAGAAGTTTTTTCGGTTTTTATGAGCCTCCAGGCTTATTTTGAGTTTAAGTGTCCGATCACGGAATATCGGGGATTATTTTAAGCCTTAAATGGGAGCTCCATGTGCCTTGTAAACCCAGCTTGCTTATTTGTAAGTCTTAAATGTTTGTGACATGGCTTACCCACATATTGACTTTTCTCGTCCCTTGTGATGTCAGGAGTGTGTGCTCGGATACATGTATTCCTTTTTGTTTAAGAGCCCCAAACTTGCTTGAGGTCGGGTTCTTTTCCAATTTATTCATAAGTTCGGTTTTGATGAGCCAAAAACAAACTACTCCGACTACTTGTTATTTATCGTAATAATTTTGACTTTAGCAGCCCGAAGCCTTTTATGGCGGGGTTAAGTAGCCGTATATTTATCTATAGCTCCGGGAAAAGATCCCCAAGTGGGTTGGCCAACATATTTTAGGAGTTTCCCCAATGGATTTACCCGTTTGGTTTTGAGTCCTTTTCGCCTTGAAGGCGGGTATGGTTGAATATTTTATTCCAGAGGCTTTCAAGACTTTAGTTTGATCACGAAATGTTAGGTACGTGTAACAATCCAACTTATCCGTGAAGCTTACTCGTATTTGGGGTCGAGGAGTATGAACTCGGATCCGATTCATTACTCAACTCTTCGTATGAGGAGTGTTTTAGACAACGACCCTTTAAAGAAGGGAGTGTTTTACTACGATCTGTTTCTGAGAGGAGTGTTTTTCTACGATCCTTT